ACAGACTATTAATATTTAGAATATAAAAAGAATTAAAAAATAAAAATAAGTCTGAAAACTCAAGTAATATATGAGATATGAAATAGTTAGACCTTTAGCAAAAGGTAAACTACAAGTGGCCAATACACATGAAATATACTCAATTTTACTAGCTATCAGAAACATGCAAATACAAACTACACTGAGATTCTATCTTATTCTAGCCAGAATGCCAATCATTAAGAAAATAAATAATACAGAATGCTTGGGAGGATATTGGACAAACAGAATCTTATACATTGCTGGTGAGAGTATAAATTAGTCTAGTTGCTATGAAAATCAATATGGGAGTTCCTTAAAAACCAAAAATAGAACCCCTATGTAATATATTCCTACCACTTCTGATTTTATCTTTTGGAAATTTTGATAATAAAGCTATATTACACTCGTTTTTAATATTCTATTCCTGAATGTTAGCAAATTAATTTACTCAAATAAGAACAAAGCATTATTTCACGTACCAAATACTTAGGATGTTCAAAAGCAGCAACTTGTTGATATATTTATAAGAATTTTTTTAATTAAATTACCTGTTGCCTTAAATAACCACTCTCTAGAAATAAATTTTGTAAATAGAGGTTCCACAAGATTTGGTACCATCTTATGGATCACACTAACACCTAAAATCCAATGATAATCTCTTAGCATGCTTTAGTTAGGATTTGGGGATATGGAAGTATTCAATCAGTTTTTTAAAAATATTTTTAAAAGTTTTTTGAAATTAAAATGTGATTATTTCATTTTTCTTCTTTTCTTTTCCTCTCTTCAATCCCTCCAACATAGCTCCCCGCCATCTTACTACATCTCAAATTTATGGCCTCTGGCCTCTTATCTTTAATTGTATTTTTACACACACACACACACACACACACACACACACACACACACACACACACACACTATCCATGTATAACATGGTCATGAATTTTGGAGAAGAACATACAACTCTCATGTTATGAAACCAGCATAATTCTAAACCACATTCTGAATATGTATCCTTACACCTGCAGATAAATGTATCTCTTGCCCCTCAATAAAGAAATTTCTCCTTGTAACAGATGGAGACCATTACAGAAAAGCTCAACTGACAGAAATGCAGAGAACAGGTGACTGTGTGTTACCCAGCCCCAAACTGATGCAATTACAATGCAATTCCTGCAACCAAAGCTCATGGTTCATCATTGTTACTGTTATGATGATATCTGAAGGGCATTAAAGATAGTTATATACTCAAGAAGAGTAAGTTCAATAATAGAGCTTATAGATGAATTACTAAATGGTCTTATTAAATAAAAAACATGGAGCCAGATATTGGGGTGAAAACCTGAGAGATCAGAGGCATAGGAAAAGCCACAAGCCAACCTCACCTCACCCACACCTCAGCTTCCAAAGACAGCTACTTCCTGTATACCCACATCTAGTTCCTGTATGCCTTTCTGTTCTGCTATCTCATTTGCTCTCTCTGTCCAGCTACATCACTTCCTCTTCCTGCCCAGTTCTGTCACTTCCTGTCTGTCTGTACAGACCTCCAGACCTTTATGGTTAATTAGTGTTGGAATTTAGGTGTGTGTCTGCCTCTGTTCCCAGTATGGCCTTGAACTCACAGAGATCCAGACAAATCCCTGCCTCCTGAGTGATAGGATTAAAGGTGTGTGCTTCCATTGCTTGATTACTATGTTTAATATAGTGGCTGGCTTTTTCCTCTGATCCTCAGATAAACTTTTTGTTTGTTTGTTTGTTTGTTTTTTCTTTTTTGGTTTTTTTTTTGTTTTTGTTTTTTTGGTTTTTTGAGACAGGGTTTCTCTGTGTAGTTTTGTGCCTGTTCTGGAACTCACTTGGTAGCCCAGACTGGCCTCGAACTCACAGAGATCTGCCTGGCTCTGCCTCCCGAGTGCTGGGGTTAAAGGCGTGCGCCACCACCACCCAGCTCTCAGATAAACATTATTGGGTTGCACAAATAAAATATCACCACAAGAGCTGGCAATAATTGTCTCTTTTTTCTTCCTAAATGAGATAGATTATGATATGAAAGTATAGGCTTTGCAAAGGCTATTCTCGTGTATGAAATCAAGAGAATAGCACATCCCCATAGTATCTGACAGGTAGTTTACTTTATCAATGGCAAACTCGAGTACTAAAATAGCATTCCTAACATTACAAATTAATTTTACAAGGTTGAAAACTGAACTGAAATCCATCTTTCTATAGATATCCTTGGCCTAGAGACAATTTGCTTTTAATCTTCAGTTATACCCACCATCAAGACATACTGTAATCTAAGCATTTTTGATGCTGAGAAAACATGAATACCCTCCCTGTGCCCTGGCATTACCCTTAGTTGTTTTTGTTGACATAGCAATGACCCTCAAACATGCAGATTGCCTGGTCTCTGAAACTTGTGAATATGTTAAAATATGGGTTGAAAGGAAATGCTTTTGCATGCCAAGTTAATAGACATTTATCAGTAAGAGAAATGAATAGCAAGACTATTTAATATACATTTTTTACACAATGGGAACCTTCCAAAATGGGTACAAAGAAACAGAGAAACCTGTGTATGTTTACTGTCGCTTCTGATAAGAGTAGGAAGTCATGTAAATGTACGGTTGGATAAAGTGAGTATGACTTAGTATAGATAATATTGGAGGAGGCTTGTTTGCTTTATTTATTCAGGATGTCTCTCCAATTTCAAGGATAAGAATATTCCTCTCTCTCTCTTCCTCTCTCTCCCTCTCTCTTTCTCTGTGTGTATATGTGTATGTATGTGTGTGTTTAAGTGTGTACCACCGGAATGAAGGGTTTTTCCCCCCTCTCTTTTTATTTAATTATTTTTTCATTTTACATACCAACCACAGTTCCCCCTCCCTCCCCTCCTCCTGCTCCTCCCCACCATTTCCCACCCCACCCCCCATCCATTCCTCAGAGGGGGTAAGTCAACAAAGTCTGGCTTATCAAGTTGAGGCAGGACCAAGCCCCTCCCCAGGGCATCAAGTCTGAGCAAGGTATCTCACCACAGGGAATGGGTTCAAAAAAGCCAGTTCATATACCCAGGATAAGTTTTTGTTACACTGCCAGGGGCACCACAAACAGATCAAGTCACATATGTGTCACCCACAGTCAGAGGGCCTAATTTGGCCCCATGAAGGTACTGGTCATGTCAGACCAGAAACCCAGAGCTCCCACTAGCTCAGATCAGCTCTCTCTGTAGTTTTCCACATCAGGATCTTGACCTTCCTTGCTCATATCATCCCTCCTCCCTCTCTTCAACTGAACTCCACTTGCTGGGCTCAGTGCTTGGCTGTGGATCTCTGCATCTGGAATGAAGTTTTTATTGATCCATTTCAAAGCAAGAACAAGGACTTTCTATTTATGCTTTGCAAAATGTCCTGTGCTTTCCTGAGTTCTGAAACTCTTGACTCTCTTACAGCATTTGTCTTGATTTATAACATAGATAGGGTCAAAGTTGATAATAAAATAACTTAAAATTAAGAACCTTACTTTGGAATCTGAGGTAGACTAATGTAATCACTATAGTCTTCTAATTAGGAAGAAGTTAGAAATATCAGTTAGAGTGATCTAATGCAAGATAAACTAGATTTACCTTTACTATTGAAGTTCAATGTGAAAGACAGGCAGTGTGAACTGAGGAATGCAGAAATTATATGGGTAATAAGAAATGAGGAATGCAGAAATTATCATACAAAATAACAAAGGGATTTCCCCTTAGTGTCTCTACTAAGAAATAAGGGATTATACCATAATGATACCTTCTCAGCTAAAGGATATGAGACCCTTTTAGATTTTCAAACTATAGAATGACACATAGCCTTAGCTAGGAAGTTGCTAATTATTTTTATTACAGAATGCCATTGAAACTAAAGTGATTGACACTTTTTATTTCTAACAAACAAGCAATAAGTGTTTACTTAAATGTGTCTATGCATTCACATTAAGTTTTCAGGCAGGGTTATCTCCTCCTTGTGATCCATCAGTATTTGTGCTGCCATATTTAGAATTAGCAAACATTTTTGCAAAATCCTGATCAGGAAAAATGTGTTGTATTTGTATCATTTGATGACCAAGAGGTACCTATTTGGATTGTAAAGTGCCTATAGGACCTAAATCATTACAATGGACTCAAAGTGAGGAAAGAGTAGATAGAGAGATGAAAATAGATTAAGAAAAATTGTTTGGTTTGGGCTGGTGATACATACCATTAAAACAGAACAAATAGGACTCATGGAAGAAGGGAAAAGACCATAGGAAGAAAAAGTGATTATGTCAATCAGGGATTTTTTTTTTTTTTTTTTTTTTTGCCATGACGTGGATAAAATGTTTTCAGTGTAAATCAGTAGAATTCTCTTTTGAGAGAGAATTGATTTGTGCTTTGAAAGAATCTCCAGGTATTTTAAGAAGTTGTGTATATGAAAAATCTTGCTGTGTTCTCTTAACTATCTATTGTTTGTGTTGATTGTAATCAGGACTGTCAACACCCAGAAAATCATTCATTACCTTTCATCTTCTAAGTGCCAATGAGGAACAATTATTTTCGAGGTGTTGTAGCATGAGCATTTTATGTAACATTTCTCACAATGGGACCCAGTGAAGGGATTTACAACAAAGGGGAAAAAAGCAACTCTGAAAAAGGAACTCTTTTCTTTCAAGTTAAACTTCAGTGGGAAAATGGAGAGACTGGCCTGAGGAAAATATGTGGGCTTTGTGTTCATTTCCATTTCAGACAGCAAATGTCTCTGGGGATTAATTGTAGGCCATTTAGTGCAATAAGGTTGCTTTCTGTATTTTGGGAATTCTAAGTCATCAATTTTTAAAAGTGGATTTGTTTTGTTAAGTAAAGCAAAAGTATGCCTCTGGCTTGCAAGAAATAGCTAGTTATTATATTTACAAAACAGCCGACTCTTCCCATTTTCTTGAGACCATTCTTCTCTGTTCTTCCCCTTCAGTCTCAAGGGGAGCCTTGTTCACTGAGGATGAGTCTGTTCCTGCTGAGAGAAGGAAGCCAGAAGTGGTCCTTGGCACTGGTGCTCTGGTAACGCCATTACAGTTGCAATACCTTTGGCTTTTCTATACTGGTTCTGGTGTTCAGCAATATCCTTGGAAACAGCTGCTGATTCTTCTTTCAGTAATTCTAGCATGCTCCAAACAAGGTACTCCACTTTTTTCAAGATTGAGTTCTTCTTCTGTTCCCACTGTTTTTTTTTCTTTTTGTCATTTAAATACTATTCTTTATTTTAGAATGTCTTTATATGACCTTCTCTTCGTCTTGTTCCCATTTTTTCACTATTTTACTTGAACTTCATTTTTTAACTCCTATGTTTGTTTAAACATGTGAACAAATATAAGACTTTCCTTGTATCTTTTGGGTTAAATTGTTTTAACTGTAAACCTATTTTCACTAGAGGACCTTTTCCTTCAAAAACTCTTTGTCATTGATAAACTAATCCCGTCATTCTAATGCATCCTTCTTCAATGTTATTCTTTACAAAAGCTCTTCATCCAAATTTTCTTGATTTTTCTATATACTATAAACATTTGTATTATTAATATATTGTTTGAAAACACCATGCATTGATCTGGACCAGCAGGTAAATTTCTTTGGTGAAATGATGACCAAGAGAGGAGAAGATGAATAGGAAGTTAGGGAAGTTTGGGAACAGGAGGTCTTACACAAACTGATGACTCATACAAGCAAGTTTATTAAGAAGTACAGTAACTAGGTACAATTTTTTTGAAAGATAAAATGGGACAGTGCCATACTATGGGAGTCTGTTGAAGTCCAGCTCCAAACCTGTTGAAGGGTTCTTGGGAGGAGGAGAGAGGAATGAGGAAATGATAGATAAAAAGATAGAGATGATAAGAAAGACAGAGACACAGGATAGCTTCAGGAGGGCCCTGGGTCAATACTCAGTCGCCTCAAGGTTTGTTCCAAAGGGCTTTTTATACAATGCAAGGGAGCGAGGCAAAAGATCTCCCTCTTTCAAGATCAAGGCACAACATACAACCAAGTGTAGACCCTTCAAAACACCTGGTAACCACACCCATGGCCAAATCATACCATTATGCAGCCATGCTGGGTAAAGCAAGTGCAGATTCTCTGACCCTGAGTAAGGTCTTACTAGGGAGCCTCTGTGGGCCTCTGCATCATAGAATGGGACAAACTCATCAGAAGAAAACACAGAATATCTCAAGACCATCACAGTGGCCTTGAAACTGATAATAGTAGCCTCCTAGGATATTGGGTTCTCAGGGCCCCACCCAAAAAAAAGAATGAAAGAAGGGAAGGAATGAAGGAAGGAAAGAAAGGAAGACAGGAAGATAGGAGAAAGGAAGGAAGGAAGAAGGAGGAAAGGCAATAACAGAGGAGGAAGGGAGGGAAGGGAGACAGATAGAAATTTAATCAATATATGTTAATAGTCTAGAATAATGTCTTAGGGTTACTATTGCTGTGATGAAATGCTATGACCAAAGCAACTTATGGAGGAAAGGGTTTATTTGGCTTACACTTCCACATCACTGTTCATCATAAAGAAAGTCATGGACTTAACCTCAGAAAATATAAACAGGCTACCACTTAAATGCTTCTTTTTATAAGCTGCCTGTCTCACGGTATCTCTTCCCAGTAAAAGAACAATAAACTGGACAGATTAGTTTTAGTTTGAAGTTTGTTTTATTGGATATTAGGATTGCAACACTTGCTTCTTGATCCCATTTGCTTGGAATACTTTTTACCATCCTTTCAATATAAGGTGGTGTCTACTTTTAAAGCTGAGTTTCTTGTGGACAAATAGTCATTGGAATTTGATTCATAATCAGTTCAGCTAGCCTTTGTCTTGTGATTAGTGAGTTGAGGCCATTAATCTTTAGAGTTACTATTGAAAAGTATATGTTTAGTGCAGTCATTCTGATGTTTCCTTTTTGTTTTTTGCCTGTTTGCTTACTGGTTTGTATTCTTAATTGTGGTTTACTTATCATTTAATTACAGCTTCATTTGTTTTCATTCTAGAGTCTCTTGGCTGTGATTACTCCTCTCTTTAGTCCAAAGCATTGTTTCCAATATTCAGTTTAACAGTTTTTGTTGTTGTTGTTGTTGTTATTGTATAAGAATATTTTAGGCTGCTTTTAATATGGGGAGTCCTTTCATTTTTCTTAAACTATGGAAGATATTTTTACTGATTGCAATAGTCTTTGTTGGCAATGATGGCCTTTTAGCACTGAGTGTTTCATTCCAGGCTCTTCTGACTTTCAGAGTTTCCAATGAGAGATCAGGTGTAAAGATGATGAGCTGTTCTTTATATGTGACTTGTGTTTTTTCTCTTGAAACTTTCAATATTTTTTCTTTGTTCTCTATATTTAATGTTTGGACTATGATATTTCTTTGTGTGTTTCTTTTGGGGGATTGCCTAGTTGAAGTTCTGTGTGCTTTTTGTAAATGTATGGGCATATCTTTCCTGTGTTTGGGCAAGTTTATTTACTTTTTTATATTTTCTTGGTAATGGTCTGGTCTAAGCTATTGACATGGGATTCTTTTCCCTTCTATACTTATAAATAGACTTGGTCTTTTGATGGTGCCCCACATCTCCTGTACATTCTTATTATATTCTTTTTTAACTTTAGTTTTCTTATTTCTTCTATATCCCCTACTTTAGCTTTGAGTCATTATATTCTATCTTCTGCTTGATTCATTCTACTTACAAAGATTTTCCCTGAGTTTTCTAATTTAGATATTGAGTTTTCCAATTCCATCTTTGTTTTACCTTGTGTTATCTTAGATATTTCTATCTCCTTGTAGAATTCAGATTTTTTGAAGTCTGAATTGTTTTTAATTTCCTTCTGCTGTATACTTGTATTTCCTTGGATATCACTCAAACAGATAACTCTTGGTGTTCAATAAAGTGTTTTTTCATGTCTGTTTTTTTTTTTTAGATTCCTTGAATTCTTCAATCAAGCTTATGACTGCTTTTTGGAAATTCCGTATGTTAATCTAGTTAGTTCTAATTAGAGAATGTTCCAATAAGACAAGTAGGTATAAGGGAAGACATGCTATTTTGGCCATTCAAGTTTTTTTCTTTCTTTCTTTTTTTTTCTTTTTGAGATATGGCCTGGGCTTATTGATTCCCCCCTCCCCAGTTTTAGTTGCGTGTCTCATGTGTCAGTCTGTCCTTCCATAGATGTGGTCTGTGCAGGAGATGCATAACCTGTGCTAGGCCAGATGAACCTGGTGGAAAGATGACTTGCCAACCTAGAGTTAGACCAGGTAAATGGATGGTGTGGGGGGGGGGTGCAGGGGGTGGTCCATGGCCACAAGAATGAAGGTAGGCTAGTGGGCTTACAGATGGCCACAGTGGAGTAATTTCAGGGAAATGGAATAGGTAATTTTTATCCAATGAAAGTGACTCACTACACAGAGGAGGTGCTGCTCTGGATCTAAGCTTGTGGGTTTGCAGCCTGAGGAAGGTTGACATAAAGGTGGGGAAATAGAAGAAAGAACTTAGCCATGAACAGAGGCTTTGTAGTGATTGCTGGTTTGATGCTAGGCATATATGTTTGCCGATGGCAGAGGGTTACAGAAAGATGTCAAAGGGAAGACATTATTTACCTGGGAATAGTAGCTCAGGTACTGAGGATGTGTTGGTCATGGGTCTGGAGCTAGGACTGTGGGTTTATGCTTGACTTTTTAAAGTAATAACATTTCACCATCATGAAAATGGCTCAAAAGTGTTTGCCAAAGCCTGTGAATGGTTAATCACTGAAGGAAGACTGCTGTGCTCCCCAGCTCAGAAAGACAGTTTATGTATGGCTGTTGTTGGAAACCCAAGCACTTCTTATGCTGTGGGGCCTCTACCTGATAGAGGTTCTTTTGGCTAAATTGAAGTGTAAACAGAGACAAGGAGTATTCAAAACCAAAGTCAAGGACTGAATGTGCAGCTCAAGGGTAGAGTGCAAGCTTGGAATTCAGGACACCAGGAAATCAGTGCCACAAGTGAAAGGAAAAGAAGGAGAGGAGGAGGAGGATGTAGATGTAAGTCTAAATGATCTTATTAAATAAGAAACAGACAAATAAAGAGTTAAAAGCCTAGAGATGGAGCAGTAGCCAAGAGCTAAGACCACCTTATCTTACTACTCGCTGCTGTCCTTCCAGAGAGAGAGACCTTCTTCCGGTGTCCTGTCTTTTTATTGCCTTTCTGTTCTGCCTTCTCTTTGGTTCTAAATCCAACCACATGACTTCCTCGCCACTGCCTGTCTATACAGACCTCCAGGTCTCTATGGTTTGTACTGAGATTAAAGGTTCCAGTCACCACTTCGCTGTGTCCTTGACCACACAGAGATTCTACCTGCCATGTGATCGGTCGGATTAAGGGCATGTGCCACCACAGCTGGACTTCTGCTAAATGGCTTGCTTTTAGCTCTGACCCCCAGGCAACTTTATTTATTAACATACAAATAAAATCACATTTTAGCACAAATAAAATATCACCAGAGGAGGAGGAGGAAGAGGAGGAGGAGGAGAAGGAGGTGGAGGAGGAGGAGGAGAAACAAAATGAGCAAAAATCCTAATGTCCAGGGTTGTGTATGATTTCCAGAAAAAAATTGGTGGAATTATCCAGAAGTATCCAAGATCAAGGTAGCTGACTAAAGAGAGGCTTTCTAAACAGGATGTGGAGGTGGAGCTATAAGACACATGCGTATTCCCAGAGGCTATCTGAGGGTACTTATTGAACTCCTGGACCCTATAATAATATGTTGAGCTTCCAACCTGGAAAAACTAACTATAAAATCACAAACAATATGATCTATCATTTAGCCTACTCTACTGCTTTGTTCAATTTTATTTGAGCCTCCATTTTCCTTCTCAGAATTCTATGACTTATAAGAATCTGTTCTTGGATGTGAGACCTATACATTCAACTGTGCATTAGTTACACAATTAATGTTACATAATGTATTTCAAAACCAACAACAAACTGACAATGTTCTGGTGTCTTATTCACTCAGCTCTGATATCAGCACAGGCATTTGTAAGTCAGTAGACATGTCCATTTCTTATTTCTGTGCCAGGGAAGTGCCTGCAGACTTTTCTACATAGCTTGTGTGGCTGAGGAGATTTGTATGTGGCTAAATATATTCCTATAATCAATGATAATGTGAC